ACCCCGCGTGTGTTCAACCTGCGCAATCCACCGATCTGCCGCCTCGACCTAGTCGTACAGCATCACCGATCGTTATCTGACGTTGCATGATCCGCCGTCTATTGCTCGGGTACCATGACGTGGCAGTGTCTGGTGCGTTGCCAATTAAGATGTAACGGTAAGTGTATCGTCATTCCCAACAGATCCAGAGATTGGTGGCATCCACTGGGTGGCATTATTGGAATATGGATTTTGTATCGCCACCGATGGAAGGCAGTCACAGCGTCGAGCATCTGCCCATTGTTGGCCACAGTCTTGGCTGTAGACGCGACCTCCACTGCAAGTCTTTCACGCGTTCCCGGCAACCAAACTTCTTCAAGCGCGACCTGCGAGAATGCTAGCTTTACTACGATCGACAGTTGACAGGCGCGTGTGTCCGCTACGTAGCACGCACACAACCCATATTGGCGGAGTGCAAGCGCCAGCCTCCTGCCAGTTGAACGGTAAAGCGAGAATATGTCGAGTCACGAGCGCAGTCCGCCATCACACTAAGTATCAAGTACACTATGCAGTGCAAACGTGTGCATTAGACTTAAGGAAAACTGCGCGAGATTGCAAATATCGACCGTCTACTGGTGTTGACGCACAGCTTACTTGCCTTATCTGACGCGCTGCGAGGTAGTACTAGTACGCATGAGCTGCATCTCAAGCTCTTCGAGTTCCTCATGCGCAGCCGTGTCTTCGCGAATCATGGCGGCCAGTTGTTGCTCGACGTCACGGAGCTTAGCCTCGAGCTGCAGGCGACGAAGTGACGTTTTGGCGTCTGCTTCGTCCGTCGCGGTCCACATGGGGGTTCCACGTCAGAGACGATGCCGCACGGCGGCTATGTCGCCACGGCAATCGCGAGCTCGCGAGAGCGCACCAGCGCGAGGAAAAGCACCAAGAGGAAGTAGCTGTCGGGTCGCGACGAAAGATTCTTGAGCCGCGGATCGATCGCAGAGGGAGCCTTCAACATCTTGGTCACCGAGAGGCTACGGACGGGTGGAAAGTCCAAAACGGTCACGAGATCGTCGAGTGCAATGAGCTACAGCGTGTTGCCAAGCGCGGGCTGCGTAGCGAGGTGATGATGGAGTCCCGCAGCTTCAGAGCTGCCGAGATACCTAGTATGTGTTTTGTGTCAGAAAAGCGCCGGGTTAACATTCCACTTACGTGTGGCTCGGACCCTTGCAGCAACGGGTGTGCCAGAAAGCGCTACAAACACGGAATCCTCAGTTGTGGTGATTGGGTCTTGTGCCGCAAAGGAAACGAACCTCGAGCATGTCATTCTCTTCATCGAGCTCGCCAGCTTGCGCTTGAGCGCGACCAACTGCTCGCTTGCTGCTGCTTCGTCACGGGCACGCGTGGATCCATCGAGCTTCATTATCGTCGGCTACAGAACGAGAAATGATGCTGCCACGCAGCCGCGGCGGCTGGCTACAGTAGCCGGAGAGGATGAGGAACCTTTGGTCCTGCTCCTGTGAGACAGATCAGTTTGTCGAGATACTAATGCAAAGCAACAGCCTCGATCGACAGCCTCACGCAACTACTTTTGCCTTCTTCATCTGGGCGCACCACGTGACGCTGTTCGGTCATGCAGGCGGATAGTTGAGTGCGCGTTCGAGGAGCCCAATTTGTAACCAGCTACAAGTACATCTGACCAGTTTGTGCGATCGCGACCGTCTGCCTGTCGCCAGCGTGCGCTCAACTAGCGTTCAGCGTTGTAATTTTTGACGATTGACATGAACACGAGCTAGTACGAGTGTCCGCTAGATCGGATACATTGGCTAGCTTTGGAACCCACGAGTCGCTTCCCGCGCATCGCAGGATCGCGTATGGAGCGTGCTGATTGGGCCAGCATTTGAAATGCGCAATCGGGATTGGCTGCCGCGCAGAGATTGGAGCATTCTGATTGGCTTTCCCGTCCCATAAACCGTAACCAAAATGCTGGACGCAACTTGAAGTTGCGCAGCGACGCGCGATTGCCAGGCTCCAAACACCCACCGCTAACACCCACAAAGCTTTGGTCAGCCGTTCCTTCCACAATTCGTGCGGAGAGAGGTGCGGCGCGAGTGCGATGGGCAGAATATTCTCGTAGTGCCTTGAGCTTGGTGAGCGTCACCTTTGCTATCACCCAGTCAGACCAGGGCTTGCATTGCTTCAAGTTGAATCTCGGAGTCGCTTCAGCGGGGAAAGGAAGCAACACCAATGTTGTATTGGGTTGATCAGCACCGAACAACGCGCAGGCCGCCAACACCGGTTCTCACCGGTTCTGGTTGACGGGATCGATGCCCATACAGCACAGACGCGTTTCAGCAACAAAGGGAAATACTTTCCCGTGCATCAGCTAACACGAACGGTTTGACTTTCTCACTGTCGCTTCCGCAACCTAATCCTATTACACATAAACGCAAGCGGCGCTTGGCAAGCGACTGACGGCAGACGACGGGGTCGTTGCCACACACATTGACTACCGAAAGCATGCCGACTGCGCGTTACGCGTCTTGGAGTGTAAACGACTGACCACTCGGCGCCGCTCGGAAGAGCACCTTGGGGAGTCGCGCACGCATGGCTGTCGAAGTCACAAGCTTCGTCAACAGCGCCTGGTACATGGCATGAAAGCTGTAGCCGACACCTTGTTGGTGAATGACACGAGCGTCATCGCGAGCAGTTGCACGTAGCGTTCGAGGGTCGGGTTGACGTCCGGGCAGTCATGGACGTTGGTCGCGTGGTGCCGAGGGTGGTCACAAGCGTCAAAAGGTCGTTGGCGGCCGGAATGAGGCTGAAGAGGTCGTTGATGGCGGCCTGCTTGGTCATCATGAGGCAGGCGGCCGCCGTTTGGAGGTACGAGAGGTGCACGTTGGGTACTGAATATGACCAAGGGTACGTATAATATAATATCGGATCATATCAAGGCCTCCGTCGCCTTGTCGCGCGCGCAGATCGAGGCCCTCGAGAAGGCTGACCGCGACAAGGCGGCTGCGACAGCCCGCGCTGCCCAAAGTCTCCAAGAAGAGATCGCCGCGATCAGTGCTCGACTTGCCATTGCCAGTGCTCGACTTGCCGTTCTTAGTGCTCAACTCGAGGACGCTCGGTCAGCCGGCGAGCTCGCCGGTGCCGAGGCTTTTTTGCATTGCGCGTCCAAGATCTTCCCGCTTGGGTCGTCTGAGGCGCAAAAGCGCGTCTTGGAGGTCGTCGTGGCGCCAGATGCTACGCAGAACTCTCTTCTTGAGCAGTGCTCAAGAAGAGCGCACGACGATTGAGCCTCCGACGCCGACGAGCCTCTCTCGGCGCCTCCCTCGGCATCGGCGCACCTCCAACACACCGTCGGTCTCTAGTTGCCAAAGGAATGTTCCCACTTTAGTTACAGTCGACTAACTAGAGTAAACATAAAGTGTTTTCAGTGCTCCTCTTCTTTCTATTATACGAAACCCTCGCTAAAAGACTCAAGAGGAGTTAACACGACCACAGACAGGTTGCGTCAACACCAAAGTTCACGATGAAGGATACATTATGACGTTATGCGGCAGATGGCCGCGGCCACGCAGGCCGCCCCGCCCATCGCAGCAAAGGTACCTGCAAAGGTCTCGATCGCGTACGGCAATTGCACCTGAAGCCGTCCGCACGAGTACGTCTTGGTGTGCTCGGCGCCCGTAAACTACAGTCCTGCTGTTAGAAAAGACCACCCAAATGCAATAGTTGAATATACCGTGTAGACACGTAGCAGCGCCGCGCTCGTCGCGACCAGCGTCGTCATCACACCCCACGCAGAGAAAACTCGGTGCAAATAGAGGAGCGAGTGGCTCAGGTGCAAGAGCAAGAGCGGTGCGAGGCCAAGGGCGAGGCCACCCGCGCACGTCATGAGCCCTACCGATGCTGTAGTCGATGTAACCCGAGATGACGTACCGACGAAGCGCGAGCTAACGACGGTGCTGGGCGGCAAGAGACTCAGCTCCTCGATCATCATAATGTCGACGAAGAAGTGTTCGTATTTCGACATGAGATCGATGACCACAGTCGCGTCGTGGACTGACATGCCCTTCGCTGCGTAGAGCTGAACCATCTCTTCCTTCTCGCCTTCAGGAAAGTTGTCGAGCTCCCTACGCAGTGGTTGATCACATGCCCTTGGCGTCGTTGCTGCCTCTACCACATCTCGCGGCGCCGCTCGCGCTCGTACTCGAACCGCTCTTCTTCGGTGCGGCGGTAGGCTAGCACGCCCGCGAAGAGTGCAACGGCGACCGCGAACGCCAGTGCCTACGGCATTCTCAGATGAATTGCGTCGAGTCGCTTTGTACCGGCCCAAGCAAGCGCTGCGTCGGCGCGTCGTTGGTGGCGGCCGTCAGCGCCGTGAGGAAGAGCAGGTTGCAGCCGAGCGCGGTGATACCCGACTCGGCGCCGATCTTGAGCACCGAGTTCTTCATCGAGTTGACCGAGTGGCCCGGCTCGTTAATGGCCTTGGCGCCGCTGGGCTCGCAAACGCAGTTGGTGTGGGCGGCGCGCGACGCCGAGACGTCCTGGCGCTTGTACGCGCTCCTAGCGCCACGGCATGAGCTCACAGCTGTGCATGGGCGGTGCTACCGCGCGGCCGCGAGGTCTCGGGCGAGGTCGACCTTCTGGATCGGCGGCGTCGTGATGAGCGGGCTGCCTGGTACGTGGCGGGCGCGGAGGCTCATGGTCTTTGGTCTGTCCACGCTGGTCCGACTGCACGACGTAGGACTGATGCCGAATTCCAGTCCGAATTAGCGTTGAATTCGGCGCAAGTAGGTTTTACTCATTTGCCACGTCCTAAAACAGGCTTGGGATGACGTTACCAACCACGTCTAACAGTCGCCAACACGGCTCAATGACAAAACGGAGACGTTTTAATTTGAAATAATAGAATTGAGATACCTCTTTTTGGCACCTAATTGTGGGTGCATCGGTCTAACACATTTTGACACTGCGGTATAACATTTCCCTATCCATTGTTCTGCTGGTCACGATGGCAGCAGTCCTGCCGAGCTCGGCCCGATGGCTCTCGACGATCCGGAAGGGCAAGTCGGTCTCAAGCGCGCGATGGCTCAACCGGCAGCAGAATGACCACATCGTCAAGCAGGCCAAGCGCGAAGGCCTTCGGTCCCGCGCTGCACTCAAGCTCCGCGAGATCAACGCGGTGCGACCGCCCATCGATCCGCAACCATGGCTCATGCAGCATGCTATAGAAATTCAACGTCGTGCGCAAAGGCAACGTAGTGATCGACCTCGGCGCCGCGCCTGGCGGCTGGACGCAGGTACTCGCGCTGCCTTCCAGCGCCTGGCATTCGTATGGCTGTAGATTGCCATCGACGAGTGTCGAAAGGGAAGCCCGCCCGAGGACCCCGAGAAGCCCGGCAAGGTCAACGTCATTGCGATCGACTTGCTGCACTTTGTCGCGTTTCCAGGCGTCGGCGTCATCGTCGGCGACTTCCGCAAGCCCGAGATCCAGGCCAAAATCACAGAGTACTTGGCCGGCCGGCAAGCCGACGTGGTCTTAAGCGACATGGCGCCGTCCTTCTCGGGGCTTGGCTTCCGCGACAGCGAAGACCAGCTGCGTTTGTGCCAGAACGCACTGCGCATGGCGCAGCTCTACCTCAAACCCGGCGGCCGGTTCGTCTCCAAGGTGCTGCGGTCGCCGGCCGGTGATCAATTCCGGCAAGAGCTCAAGCCGTTCTTCGAGCAGGTCAAGGCCATGAAGCCCGAGTCGTCGCGGCCCGAGTCGACCGAGATCTTCTTCGTTGGGCTCGGCTTCAAGCGCCAGGATGAAACGCAATAATACACATTTCAAAGTCCATGGGGCTGATATTAGTTGGGTACGGAGCTTGGACGTCGGTGGTTAATGAGCAGGATATGACCTCTACTTCTTGCGGAAGACGGCAAGCGCGATCACGACGGGCACGGCGACGGCCGCGGCCAAAAGGGACCAGTGCGGCGGCGACATCGTCGGCTTGGCGGCGCTGGGCACCTTGGCCGGTTGTCTATCACAACACAAAAGACGAATGAATATCATCGTTTTGTTATCAAAATGGCAAAAAACACAAGCAAATTACGCGTCCGTGAGGGCGTTGACACCCGGGAGGATCTTGCCTTCGAGGAGCTCCAAGCTGGCACCGCCGCCCGTCGAGACGTGGCTCACCTAGATAGCATCCCTCGCTGAGCAATGCCAATCTCTGCAACCGACTAGGTACCTTGTCTTCCGTGTCAAACTTGACGCAGCACGTGGCAGTGTCACCGCCGCCGATGATCGTGGTCGCGCCCTTCTGCGTGGCTTCGACGACCGCGTCCATCACACCCTTCGTGCCCTGGGCTATCATAGAGACATGAGTCACATTGTCGAAACTCAAACTCAACGTACCAAACGCGTCAAACTCAAACACGCCCATGGGGCCGTTCCACACAATGGTCTTGGCGCGGATGCAGGCTTCGGCAAAGATGGCCTTGGACTTGGGGCCGACGTCGAGACCCATCCAGCCGTCCGGGATGCCATCGGCTTCGTCGACGACCGACGTGTTGGCGTCCGCCGAAAACTTGTCGGCAATGATGAAGTCGACCGGGAGGTGGAGCTTGACGCCCTTGGCCTTGGCCTTCTCGACGATATCGAGCACGATCTTGGCGCCGTCGGCGTCGTAGAGCGAGCCACCAATGTTCATGTTGTCAATGACCTTCTTGAAGGTGAAGGCCATGCCGCCGCCAACAATCATCTCGTCGACCTTGTCGAGCATGTTCATGATGAGCTGGATCTTGTCCGCGACCTTGGCGCCGCCGAGGATCGAGAGGAACGGGCGCTCCGGCGCGTCGAGCGCCTTGGCAAAGTACACGAGCTCCTTATCGAGGAGGAAGCCCGCGGCCTTGACCTCGAGGTCGACGCCGACCATCGACGAGTGGGCGCGGTGGGCCGTGCCGAACGCGTCGTTCACGTACACGTCGCCGAGCTTGCTGAGCGACGCGCGGAAGGCCGCGACCGCATCCTTCGAGGCCGAGACCTTGTTGCCATCGGCGTCCTTGCCCTTGCCTTCCTCTTCGACGTGGAAGCGGAGGTTCTCGAGGAGGATGACCGAGCCGTTGACCGGGTCGGCGCACGCGGCCTCGACGTCAGCGCCGACGCAGTTGTCAAGGAACTGCACGTCGCGGCCGAGCTTGGCCGAGAGGCACGTGGCCACCGGCTTGAGCGAGTACTTGGCGACGACGTTGCCGTCCGGGCGGCCGAGGTGCGACATCAAGACGACCGACTTGGCGCCCTGGTCGAGCGCATACTGGATCGTGGGCAAGGCCGCGTCGACGCGCTGCGTGTTGGAGATCTCGCCGTTCGCGAACGGGACGTTGAAGTCGACGCGCATGAGCACGCGCTTGCCGCGCACATCGACGTCCTTGATGCTGACCTTGACCATGTTGCTTAGTAGTTCTTAGTGTGAAGACACTTTGAAAATGAGGTTGCCGCAGTCAGAAGGCAATCTCGCGGGCTCACCGCATGTACGTACGATAATGTACGCCGTACAATATGTACGTACGACCTCTGTGGGTGCTGCAGCGACGCGATCGCTGTCGAGCCAACCATGTACTCGACTATAAAGACAATAGCGTGCATAATCGCTAGGTAGGTCGATGATCTTTGCGGCTCAAGTATCTACGGGCACGGATATGACGGCAGCCTTTGCCAGCAACGTACTACGCAGCACCGACCGTACATGCGACATGCTAACGGACCAATGACGTATCTGTGTCACCAAAAGGGATGCGCCAGGATTGGTTGAAAAGACACGGCTTTCAACGAATCACGTGCCACGTTTTATGCGAGCGACGCTATACAAAGCGGCTATGCAAGCAATCCAGCAGCCGCGACTTGGGTGACACTAGCAGCACGCAATAATACCCTTTGATGCACGCAAACAAGATGTGGCTAATGCGGTAAAGGGTGGTGATTTTAGTCCACGACGACCCCTTGACGTCGACGAGGGATCTCCTTGGAGAAGCAGCGTGGGATGCCATCGCGGCGCTGCAAAGGCGCGCCGTCACTTGAGCAGCTGCGAAAAGTCCTGTGGCGGCGACGTGTGCCACGCCAGCATACCCAACGCGACGGCGCCAAGCGCGACGGCAAACACTTGCAGAAGAAAGGACGCGCCGAACGCGACACCCGAGCCGGCGAGGCCACCGGCGATCGCCGCCCACGTACCTAATGCCGCAATGCCAAAGACACAGCTCAAGCCCAAGCTCCACAGCGCTACGCGGGGCAGCGAGCGAAGCTTGCGCTTGCAGATCGTGACGTGCAGCACGAGGGCGAGGGCGGCGAGAAGGCCGCAGGCAACACCAAACCCGGCAAGCACGAGCGCCGCCGTGCCATGGCTGCCACACACGTTGTCCATGAAGCGTGTGAACGCCTCATTGGGGATGCCCGCGGTCGTCGACAGGAGCGTCGAGGTGCTGTACATTTCGCACACGCCTGAGCAGCAGCACACGTCGATGAGAGGGACCACGACCAGGATCGGTACTACCTTGGACCTTGGCGAGCGTGATGTTGTAATCGATCGCACGGTTGTACCCAAAGCAGTTGTTGAGCGCGGGCTCATTGGCGGTGTGGAAGCAGAGGCCCCAGACGCCAGCCGTGAAGGCCGCCTTGGGCGTGGACGGGCTGAGCGCGGACGTCGACCATGTGGGCATCGAGATGGCTACGATCGACAAGAGCGCTGCGAGGTTGCTCAAGAGGAGCGCGACAAGCTCGCGACAGATTGCCGCTGCCATGGCCGCGACCTTTTGTGAAAAGATACGCTACCAGTGGTCGTTAAACCGAGGGAGATGGATTTCGTGACACGGGCACCATGCGGCAAGGTACGACCGACGTCACCCAACGAGACGACGCGACCTCATGCCCTGCCCAGGCGTCGACCTCGAGTTCCCCGCCCATGATGCGACGGCCGCGCTGCAAGGCCTCATTCGCCGCAAGCTCGGCGATGCGTACGTCGACCAGGTAGAGGCAGATGCGATGCAGCACCGACGCTCATGCCGTCGGCCTAGATTGTCGTGGCACCCATGACCGCGCCGCCCAACAGCCTCGACATGGCCAAGGTCGACATGGACGGCGACCGTGTGCGCATCTCGGGGACAAGCGCAACGGCCATGGGCTACGCGCTGCACGCCTACCTCAAGCGCGACGTGCACGTGCATGCGGACTGGGATGACCACACGCTGCCGCTGCCGCCGACGCTGCCGCCGGTCTCGCACCTGCTCGTGCTCAAGAAGGCGTCCAAGGTCACGTACTACTTGAACGTGTGTACGTCGAGCTACTCGATGTGGTCGTGGAGCTGGGCGCAGTGGGAAGCGCACATCGACTGGATGGCTCTCTGCGGTACGCCATCTCCATCATCGTCATCATCCTCCTCCTCATGATCCCAGGCATCAACATGCCATTGGCGTTCGCCGGCCAAGAAAAGGTCTGGGCCGAGACCTTGCGGAAGTTTGGCGTCGACGCTTCGGGCTTGGAGGCCTTCTTTGCCGGCGCCGCGTTCCAGGCCTGGGGGCGCATGGGCAACATCCAAGGCAGCTGGGGCCCGTACGGCCCACTGCCGCAGCACTTTATCGACGACCAGCAAACGCTCCAGGTGCGTATCCTGGACCGCATGCGAGCCTTCGGTATGCTCCCGGCGCTCCCTGCCTTTGCGGGCCACGTCCCGGCCGTGCTTCGAACGCTCTTCCCGGACGCCGCCATGCGCCAAGCGTCCCAGTGGGCGGGGTTTCCCAAAGAGTACACGTGTGTCTACATGCTCGAGCCAACGGACCCGCTCTTCCACGCCATCGGCCGGGCGTTCATCGCCACGCAGCGCGAGATCTACGGCGAGAACATCTCGTCGGTCTACCAGACCGACATGTACAACGAGCTACTGCCGCCATCGGCCGACGCAACGTACTTGCACGCGTCCGCCAAGGCCGTCATGGACTCGATGCTGGCGTCGGATCCGGATGCAATCTGGCTCATGCAAGGCTGGCTCTTTTACTTTATGCGGACGTTCTGGACCAACGCGGCGATTGAAGCGTACCTCGGCGGTGTGCCCAGCGACCGCATGATCCTCTTGGATCTCTGGAGGTACATTTTTCCAGTCGACAATCGGTCGAGTCGGAAATCTGACATCGGAATCTGGTAGTGACGAGTACCCAGTCTGGAGCCGCACCAACAACTACTTTGGGAAAAGCTGGATCTACTGCGTGCTTCACACGTTTGGCGGCAACCTCGGGCTTCACGGCAACTTGCCGACGCTCGCCAGCGCGCCGGTCGACGCGCGCGCCAAGAGCGATGGCCATATGCTGGGCATCGGCCTGACCATGGAAGGCATCTTTCAAAACTACGTGGTCTACGAACTTGCGCTCGACATGGCGTGGACGTCGCAGCCGGTCGAGATCGAGGCGTGGGTCGCCGCCTACGCGCGCCACCGGTACGGTAACCTACCCCTACGCCGAGACGCAAACCTTCAACTAGGTACCACGGCGAGAGCAAGCACGCGCTTCTTGCGTGGCATGAGCTGCTGCAGTCGGTCTACGCTGGCAAATCGCCGCCGCGCTGCCTCCTCACGTACCGCCCGCACTGGAAGATGCTCAACAGCGCCAAGACTGAGACAATGGCGTGTGTGCGTCGGGCGTACCGTGCTCTGCTGGACGCCGTAATCGAAGACCCCGCGCTCGCTCGCGTCGACACATTTACGCACGACCTCGTGGACGTGGCCCGGGAGGCGCTGAGCGGCGTCTTGGCGGCCAAGTACTTGGCGTTCCGCGAGCTGTACACGACGCCAACGACGCCACTCGAGACGCTCGAGACCGCCGCCGCCTGCCTGTTGCGGCTCATGCACCAGATCGACGCGCTACTCGGAACAACAGCGTCGTTCATGCTCGGTCCGTGGCTTGCGAGCGCCAAAGCCTGCGCGGCGCCCACGACGGAAGACTACTTTCGCTACCAGGCGCAAAACCAAGTGACGCGGTGGGGCGAAGGCGACACGCTGAGCGACTACGCAGCCAAGCAGTGGAGCGGGCTCATTGGGACCTACTACATTCCGCGCTGGACGCTCTGGCTCGACGGTGCGATCGCGGCATTTGCGACCAAGATGCCGATGGACGAAGCCGCCGTGCACGCAGCGATCGCCGCGTTCGAAGTGCAGTGGCAGACGGCACCGATTGACGTTCCGACGTTGCCGAGTCACGATCCGACGTTGATGGCGGCCGAGCTCTACGCCGAGTACTGCGCCGAGTAGTCGTTCGAGTCGAAAGGCTCTGTATGTTGCATGCCAAGGCGCTGGGGCGTATCCGTGGGTGATGACGCGATACCAACAAGGCTCTAGCCGAAGGAGCTAGATACTAAGTACTAGTATAAAGTGCGATGCTGTTTGAGGCTGCTTTGGTGCTGGACCGACGATCATCAATGCGCACCGCCGGTCGACACAACGCGCCTGAAGCGCGCGAATGTGGCCACGGCTGCAATATGTACAGGAACGCAAAAGTGCGCGCGTTTGAAGTGCACCATTGGCCTCTTACTCGACACCGAGATACTGCTTGCCGGCTTCGTACGTCGAGATCATGATGGCACATGCCGGAGCGACCTTGGCGACGCGCGCCGAGAGGCCCGTCATGATGCCACCTACGCAACGTGTCAGCTCTTGTCCATGAGCAGCGTAGCGTACCCACGCCCTCAAGGCGAACTATATCGCGCAGCATGCTGTAGATCGACGCGGACGCTTCGCTCTCAGGAACGCCTTTGGAGAAGTTGTGGATCTGCTGCTTGGTCTTGATGACGTCAAACGGCTGTGTGAGGATCGTCGAGACAGCACCTGCAGTCGCACCGGACGCAAATGCGATGCCAAGGCGGACTTGGGCCGGCGTGCAGTCGCTATCGGTGGTCGTTGCTGCCATCGTCGTGAAAGTTTGCTTGAGGACTTCGAAGCTCGACCAGTAGAGCGCTGAGAAGGGCACGTCCCGGGCGAGCGTCGGTGCGAGCCCGCGCCAGAGCGAGAAGAAGCCGTCGCTGATGCTGCTGCGCACGACGTGAAGGAACCCGCCGGCGTTCGGACTCGCTTGCATGCGCACGCGGATGAGCTCGAGCGGCGAGACGACAGTCGCTGCGATGCAGCGCGCGATGCCGCCGGCAAAGAAGGGCGCAATGGGCGCGATGCTTGGGTAGTCGCGGCGCGCCTTGGATACGAGCATGTCGTACGAGGTGAAGTAGAAGACGGTCGATGGCACAGCGATGAGAAGCATGGGCGACAAGCCAGCGTACAAAGCCGACAAGCCTTCGGTTCGGACAATGTGCGTGAGCGCATGCGCGGTGCCACGCAGCTTGGGCGTCGACGTCGACGGCGATGGCGAGTGCATCGGGCAGTTGGGATGCAGCTCGTGCGCGCCGGCGTCGCCCGGCGGTGGAAACAGATTCGTACGCGCTTTGGACACCATGTGGTCCATGAGCCCGTTCGAGAACGAGTAGTGCGTGCAGTAGCAGTACGTGGCCTAGCGTCGCTGGTGATGCATATGGCCGTACGAGGCTACTGTACCGGTGTCGTCTTGACGGTTAGGACAGACGTCGTGGGCACTTGGGCCTGAAGTCGGGTCTTGGCCACCTCGAGCGCTACGCCACGCTCAGCAAGATGAAGACGGAAGCGCATCGGACGTACGGGTGACCTAGAGCGCGGTTAGCATACACGCGCTGGCAAGGGACATGACGCATGCCATACCAGGAGCGCCGTGAGGAGCGCGCCCACCGAGGCGACGGACGACTTCTTGACCGACTCTTCCAGCGACCTCGGGCGATCCATCCCAGTCGGGTTCCCGTCGTTTCGAAAACCTGTGGCGATTGATATCCACAGTCGAAAACCTTTGACTTTTGATATCGACAGGGTCTATGACGTGGCAGCACGAAATGCTTTCCCGATTGTAAGGTTGAAAAAATGCAAAATCAAGGATATTGTGAGAATGTGGATAATATGTCGATGCGGCGCGCTTACTATTGTCTAGGACACTGGCTCAAGTATCAGCACAACTTTCGTGACGAATGCAGCAACCTTGTTTAATTGGCCCGTCAAAGAGCCCGCCGCCTCGAAGCACGACGCGCCTCCAACAACAGCGCCACGATTCAAACCCAGCAATAAGTTTGCAAACTCAGAATATGTCTTATAGTTAGAGCCAGGCGCGCGACAGCTGGAGCAATATATATATACTCGTACGATTAGTTGGATCGGCTGGCGTAGGCCGACTCGGTATGCCGCGTTGCGTCGTCCAGCTACCGCTCGCTTCGAAGCGCTCGCTCGCGCCGCTTCTGCAGGTTCTTGCGGCATCTTGGGATCCTGCAGTAGCAAGCAAACAACAGCCAGAAAAGGTAGCAACTAGCGAACGCCAATGGCGTTGTGCCCAGCGCTAAGACATAGGCGTTGTGCATCTTGTACGGGTCTTCCGGCTCTGGTGCTGGCGGTGACACGCC